TTCAGCAGGGGTGTCTGGCTTGCAAACGTGCGGGCGTGCGCTGTGATTTTCCACATGTTCCGTAAATAACGTGCACAACGTGCTTCTCTGTCCAACTCCGCTGTCCATCCTGAGCAGAACAGAAGACCGAGCAGACACACCATTTCCCTTGGCTGGTTGTGGGCAGCACTTCGGTTTCTTTGAAAGTGTGTGACTTTTACACCATGCTCTCTAGTAGTTGAATTCCCTGTACAGCTGCTGTGCAGTTAAATACATAATAAAAGCACAGTTGTTGCTGGGGTGCAGCTGCCCCCACCTCTGTGCATAACAGCATGTGGACTTGAAGGGCTTTAGATCCCTTCTTCCCAGGACTGCATGTGTCCTTGTTAGACTAATGTCACAGTGCTTTTGTTGATCTTCTGGGGAAGGTGTCCAGGGAAGGGGGTTTTAATAGTGTCTCTGTGAGAAACTAGGATGCCAGTATATTTTTTTTTCTTTTTGTTTATTATTTTGTTAACTTAAGTTGAGGAATTTGGGTTTAATTTGCCTTAGGAAATGGCACTTAGGCTTCATCGGCACTTTGGTTGTAGTTCTCTGTATGGTGGGAACGGTTATTTCCCCTCATCTTTCCTCTGCATCAATATTTAGACCTTCTCAGGAGACAAAAGAGAATAAGAAATGGAGGTTCTAAGGATGAAGTGGCAATTTTCAATTTGTTATAAGGGAATACTTAAGTTGAAAACTGTAGAATCTTTGTTGGTTTTTTTATACATAATTTTCATTTCTTCTTAGTTGATGTTACAGATGAAACAAAACAGAAGTCTGGAAGATAATTTGTCTATCCAGGTATGGGTCTGTGCTGGAGGTCTAAGTTACTATTCAGGTATTTCAGAATAATTCAGTCCAGATAGAACACTATTAATTTTTTAAAGGAATTTACAAATCTTTTGCATACTGAATGGATAACTTTTTTTTTTTTAAACTACAGATGCGACAGAGAGAGGGAATAGTTTCATTAAAAAGTTGGTGGTTTTATTTTCATGGGGAATTTACGTTTCCTGACCCATTGCAAAACCAGTACTAAAATACTTTTTCTTTCAGAAAACTTGAGAAAAATGGATGTGGATCAGTCTGTTTTCTAGGGCCAATGTTAAGTTTCTCAGTAGATATTGTTTTTCAAGCTTCATAGTTCCATTTAGTGTAAATCTTTCTTCAGTTCCTCAAGTTAATGGGCCTTGAAATGAAAAGTTGTACTGTGGCCTTTTCTGTCCTGTTGAAAAGTGTTGGAAGTCATTCCGTAGGAGGGCATACCTTTTTGCAGGCGTATCTAGTATTATTCAGAAGTTATAAAAGGAAAGAATAAGTTTATCTACTTA